ATGAAAAGCCCGTTCACAGATTAAAAAATATATATATGTGATGCATTTTTATAAACGCTGAAAACAAGCAAAACTAAGCAATATATTTGTATCAACAGCAGGTCCTCAAATAGCATCATTTTGTTCAACGTCATTTTGTTATAACACTGAACAAGATGCTGGAAGAACCTAACTCCTGTTTATATCAATTAGCCTGTGGTAAAATTGGTTTCATTATATATCATGTCACTTAAAGTCGCAGAACCCATCGACAACACTGAGGACTTGCTGTGGTTACACACACATGCGGTAACGTCCCACGTGAAAAGAGAAAGACAAACATGAAATTGAGGACGGTGGGGAACCCAGGGATGGGTGGGTGATGAGGAGCACACAGGCAGTAAGGATATTGGTAATGCTCCAGATTTTAGGTTGGCTGAGAGTTTACACACACAAGGTCTGACAATTGCGAACTTGTTGCAACAATGTTGCTAACCTTTTTTTTTTTTAAGCTGAGCCATCCTGCCACCTGTTGGCAGCTCAGCAGCTGCTCAGCTCAGGCCGGGCATCGAACCGCTGTTGCTCAGAGCTCACACTCTTGAGCGAGCTCTTAACCAACTGAGCCACTCGGCCGGCCCTGCTAACCTTTTTTTGACAGCAGAGGGATTATTCATTTTGAAATTGTACCAACTGGACAAACAGTTAACCAAGTTTACTATTTGGAAGTGCTGAAAAGGCTGTGTGAAAACGTTAGATGACCTGAACTTTTCGCCAACAATCAATGGCTCTCGCATCACGACAATGCAGCAGCTCACATGCACTGTCTGTGAGGGAGTTTTTAGCCAGTAAACAAATAACTGTATTGGAACAGCCTCCCTACTCACCTGACCTGGTCCCCAGTGACTTCTTTCTTTACCCAAAGATAAAGGAAATATTGGAAGGAAGACATTTTGATGACATTCAGGACATCAAGGGTAATACAACAGCTCAAAAGTACCAAAGTTGCTTTGAAGGGTGGAATAGGAGCCGGCGTTGGTGCATAGCTTCCCAAAGGGAGGACTTCAAAGGTGACCGTAGTGATATTCAGCAATGAGGTGTGTAGCACTTTTTCTAGGATGAGTTCACGAACTTAATTGTTCCGGCTTGTAGCCTTTGGTATGTACATAATTTACACAATTTTTAAATGGGGGACAAAAGAACAAAAGGAGGCAGATCAAGATTGAGATCGAGCTGAAGGCAGTTAGGTGTCACTATTGGGTAGTAGTGTCTGTGGTCCTCATTTGTGCTTCCCATCACTTCTGTTTCACACACAAAAATGGCCCCTACTCCCTCCAAGACGAGTCTTGCTCTTGCCTGTATTCCCACGTGGCCGGGACCTCCCATTACAGCTCCCCCCCTCCTGGAAAACAGCCCCTGTTCCCACCTGAACTCTCCGCCTGACGCCACTGACCACTCACTGCCTATGACATCCCTGCAGCCACCTTTCCCACACAAGGTGCTCCTCTCACTTAATGTCCTTTACACTGTCCCCCCAGTGTCGCCAGGAACCTGCGACAGTGGCCCTGCTCTCCCACCCACTGGTGGTTCTATCACAGGCCCAGGCAGCTCAGACATAAGGACCCCAAGGACACTCATGAGCTTTCGTCCCAATATGTCGTCCCTGCTGTTTCCCTTCTGTTAACGTGTCCTCTTCCAGGAGCCACTTTTGATTCCTTCTCACTAACCTGCCCAACAAGTGACAAAACCTGGTGGCTGTAACTCAGAAGTTCTCCCTGCAAACACTCCCCTCTGAGACACAACCTTGGAAGTGGGGTCTCTCAGCCTTTAGCTACTAGCATTGTCTTAAGCAGATCAGATAAGCTCACACATCTGCTCAAAAACTTTTCATGACTACCCACTGCCTACAAGGGTGGTTCTCAAACCTTGCTACACATTCAAAAAACCCAGTAAGCAAAACTCCTGATACTCAGATCCCATCCCAAACTAATTAAGTCAGAATTTTCAGGGATGGGACCGTAGTATGTGTCATTTTTCAAATATCCCAGCCCTGCTCCTTGGATTTTTGCCACAAAGAACTCTATTAAGGAAACCCCCAGAACCGCATCCATGATGGTCCTTATGCCCAGAGAGCCCATTTCTTCTTTACCTCATGTCAAAATCCAACTCACTTCTTCAGGTAGCTACTGCGGCAATAACACGGGAAAACGGATAATTACAGATATCATGATTTAGAATACATGAAGGAGCTCTGGAGACTAACAGGATGAAAAGAAAGAAAACCCCAAAGAGAGAGCTGTCCCCGGCTAAACTGCTGTCAGTGGCCCTTTTCTTGTCTCGGCCGTTCGCTGAGTTTGGGCAGAGGGTCTGGGCTTGAGCTTGACGACGATGGAGAGAGTTGGCCAAAGTGAAGACAGGTCCTCTGTGCTGGCGTGTGTGATGGACGAGAGACACAGACGCCCCCCCACACAGCGGGATTTCCTCCCCGGACACGTGCTTAGTGCTGGGGAAACATGTGGAGGTGGCGCTGTGGCCAGGCTTGCGAGACAGTGTGCAGTCTACAGTTTGAGGTAATTATGAATTCCCACCACAAAAGGGCCTGCTATTGCACACAGAAGTCTCACCTTTGAGGTACTGGAAGCCAGAAGTGGACTGAGCCATGCCTACAACTCCAGGACAGCCCTGACAAAAATCAATTCTTGATTGTATTGAGGTGACCAGCCCTTCAACCTGTGCACCTACAGAAGAAAGGTTGAGGTGTTCTCTCTGCTTCTTGTATACACGATGTCTGGCATGCTAATAGCAATCCTGATAGCTGTATTTTGTGTTTTTGTAGAAGTTCTGGGGAAGAGCACTGGGCTCGGCCGGCCTGTGCAGAAGGGAGCGAGGGAGACCAAGGAGTGAGTCCTGAGAAGCTCCTTGGGACAGAGCCGAGGGGTTGAGAGGGCTCTTTGGAGCACAGAATGGCCTCCTGAGGCCTCTATGACTGTTTAGGGTAGCAGCTGAGAACTTGCAAGTGCTGCTAAAGCTGAAAAACGTTATGTTTTTGTGACAGCTAGAGTGGCCTCGGGATGGTGACAGGGACCGAGGTCACTTCCTTTTGTCAGGAAAAGGACTCAAGCATCACAAAAAAATTAAATGCCACCACTGCAAGGTGGGTAAGGTCGGACAGTACAGTCACCACGTGGCTCTTCTCAACTATATTGGGGTGGGGAAGAGTCAACCGCCTCCATGGCAGGAAGACGAAAATTGTGGTGCTGTTTTTTAAGGAACAGGATCAAGGTTACTTTAATAGAAAATGTGCTTTCACCAAAAGGGCTAGACCATATTAATTCCAGAAAAACGATGCTCCTGTAAGTGAGGTGGACTTGCTTCTTGGATAATCAGAGAAAAAATCAGCAACAGCTCCATCTGGCTGGGGAGGTGCCTTCCTTTAACCTGCTAGGCAAGGACCTGGGCTTGGAAAGGGGCTTCTGGAGAGGGCTGCATGGGAGAAGGTGGGGACCCAGGAAGCGCAGGTGGGGAGAACACGGGATTGACGTTGAACACCCTCTCCCAAAGCTCTGAAGTCTATGAGGCCTTTTCCTAATACTCAGAGGAAGTGAGACTAGTTCTATTTACATTTTGTAGGCCTGCTCCTATTTTCTATTTCTTCTTCAATTTCTGTATTTTTGTTTTTCTAGGAAGTGATGCATTTCACCTAAGTTATCTAACTTGTTGGTATACACTGTTTACATAATTCCCTTGGAATCCTTTTTATTTTTTGTGAGGTCGGTAGTGCTATTTTCTCTTTCATTCCTAATTTTGGTAATTCCCTCTTTTTTTCCTGGTCAATCTAGCTAAATTTTTGTCTTTTTTAATCTTTACAAAGAACCAACTTTTGGTTTTGTAGATATCCTCTACTGTTTTTCTATTCCTTTTAATTATGTTTTAATCACTTCTTGTCTGTTTTGGGTTTCATTTGTTCTTTTTCTGATTTCTTATGGTCAAATGCTAGATTATTGATATTTCTTCTCTTTAAAATATTAGGTACTTTAGCTACCTGTTTCTCTCTAAGCATTTCATGAGCTGCAGCACACAAGTTTTAGTACATTTCTGTGTTTTTCATTCATAACGTTTTGTTGCTCTGACTTCCTCGGATACAGTGATTACTTAAGACTATCCTTTAATGTCCAACCAACTGCAAATTTCCCACGTTGATTTCTAATTTCATTTCCCGGTGGTCAGAGAACAAGCTTGGTATGGCTTCAGTCCTTTTAAACATTCTGAGAATTGTCGTAAGGCCTCGCAGTCTCTCCCGGAGAAGGTTCCACGTGGAGGTGAAGCGCGCGTGCGCCCCGCTGCGGGGGGGGGGGCGCCACGTCGCGTCGATTCACCCGCGGCGCCCTCGCGAGCCACCCGGTCGTCCCACCGGCGCCGACGGCGGGGGCTGCAGAACCAGCCACCAGGCCTCCCCTTCCCTCTGTCAGTTCCGCTTCCTGCGTCCGAGGCTCTGTCGCGGGCACAGGGGCTGCTGCCCGCGCTCCCGGCGGGAAGCGCAGGTCTCTGATAACGGCCGTGAAGAGCACCTTCCGGGGCCAGAACGGCCACGTCCATGTCATCCCGCGCTCGGAAGCGGCGACAGCGCCGAGCAGCCCCACGCGCGGCCTCGACGGCGGGGCGGCTCGGAGGGCGACAGGCAGGGACCGAGTCCGAGAGCGCGGCCGAACCACCCCCGAGCGCGCCGGGCCGGGCGCCCGTCGCCCTCTGACCCGACCGGGCGCCGACCCGCCGGGACGGCAGCTTCGCGACGCCCGCCTCGCAAACGGAGACTCTTAGACGAATGACGCCGGGTCTCAACACGTGACGGATGGGTCAGCGTCCCGCGTTGCACGCCGGGACTCGTAGTTCTCATGTCGCCCGCCTCGGCGCGAGGGGGCTGTCGGACGGCGGCCCGCGTTGCATGCCGGGACTCGCAGAGCCTGACGGGGATTCGTAGTACGGCCGCGCGCGGTGCATGGCGGGATTTATAATTTAACGCCCTCGGGCCTCAGCGCAAGAACGCAGTTGAGGGACATCGGCGAGCGTTGCGCGCCGGTAGCCTGTAGTCACGGAGTAAACGGCGTAGCGACACTGTTCCCGCCGGAACCAGCCCCACGGGCTTGGTCCTATGGCGCCTACGGCACCTACGGCCGGCCCAGCGCCTCTCGGCACAGCGTGGGCTTGTTTACACGCGGCCCCATGGCGCACGCACGCAGCGTCACGTGACGTCATGCGTTGTCCCGGAAGTCGGCGCGGACCAGGGCGGCGGGTGGAAGCCGGTGCCGGAGCGGGAATCGCAGCGCAGCCACCGTCGCCGCCTGGGCCAGGGTCGCCCGCCCTCCCCCCGCGATGGGCCCCGGGCCCTGAGCGCCCGTCTGCCGCATTTCCGCAGCGACCCCTCTGGCCGGGATGGAGGCGCCGCCCGCCGGCCGCGTTCCCGCCGAGGGCGCCCCGCCGGCGGCCGTGGCCGAGGTGCGCTGCCCGGGCCCCGGGCCGCTGCGCTTGCTCGAGTGGAGGGTGGCGGCGGGCGCAGCCGTGCGCATTGGCTCGGTGCTGGCCGTGTGCGAGGCCGCCGCCTCCGCGCAGCCCTCCGGCTCGGCCCCTTCCCGCGCCGGCTCGGGTGGCTGCGTACGTGCGGAGCGCAGGCTGAGGTCGGAGCGCGCCGGCGTGGTGCGGGAGCTGTGCGCGCAGCCGGGCCAGGTGGTGGCTCCCGGGTGAGTAGGTCGGGGGACAGGGGAAGGGAGGGGGGGCGGGAGGAAGAGGCTCCTGCGCCAGGAGAGGGGCCAGTCCGAGGCGCTGGACAGGAAAGGGTCTCGGGGTGCGGCTGACGGGGCTGCGCTCGAGGAGAACTTCGGAAGGTGGAACCACCACGTCCCCGCCAGCTGAGCGTCTGCGTGCTTTTTAAGGCTGTACGATAGCCACTGCTTGTGATTTTTCTTTAGGAAATGATTGTTTCGTTCCTTTTCTGTAATTGCTGCCTCTCTCCGAGACTCCGCATTTGTAAGTAAGGAAAACTCGGGGCGACAGCGAGTACAGGAAGAAGAGCACGCTCCGCGCTTGTCATCGCAGATAAATTGTTAGGGCTGTTCCTTAGAGTGTCATAAACTTTGCAAGACGCGATCGTAAACCCTGGTGCAGCGTGCACGGAGTTCGGGAAGGGGTGCCGCCCGTGACAGTGGCAGTGCACCCTCCTGCGGTGGGCTCTAGCTGTGGGCACTTACGTCTTCCTCATCAGGGATCTTTCTTCCTTTTCCGAAGTGCCTGTGGGTGCATATTGCATAGGGTTTGAGTTTACCGGCGTCGTGCCCTTGAGATTGGGTTGAAGTGTGAGCACAGGCGTGTGCCTGAGACGCGTGTGTTTTCGTTGTCGGCAGCGGACAGCCAGGGCAGGTGAGCACACCTGCCTCCTGCTGCAGTGGCTGGTGCACAGCTACCCTCCACGGCCACCAGCTCTGCCAGGCGCTGGCCTTCCTCTGGTGCTGCCTGCTGTCTCGGCCTCTCCCGGGGTGGCTTGCACTCGCCCTCCGCCTGTTGACCATCGCCCTCCCGGAAGCTGATGACCAGGGCAGGATGGGATAGGACTGTCCTCCATCCCAGCCCCAGGAGCCTCACCCTGCGTTCACTCTCCTGCTCATCCCTTCGAAGAAGGTCCCCGGTCCCTGGCCTCAGCTCAGGCGCCCACGCCTACCCAGTGAATGCGGGTGGGTGGCATGGATGCTGCCTCAGGACTACTCACTTACTGGAGCTGTCTGCCTGGCCTCCCGCAGAAGGGAGTGGCGCTGTGCTCTGTGACACACTGTGGCATGTTATCATCATTCCTTTGAAGTCACAGCTTACCTGATCTTCGCTTAAGCGCTAATGAGCCTGTAAACCTGCCAGCCTGTGAATGATGGAGATGAAGCCCAATGCTGGTATGTCACTGTGCGGAAAACCCCAGAAGTAAAGAGGCTTCTCCGTGCCACTCTGTCCCTCTGGTTGTGCAGGGAAGGCCGCCAGGGCCCAGACAGGCCAGTGGCCAGTCACGGCTAGTCCGTGGGCAGCTCCACGGGCAGTACTGTGAGCACATCAGCTGGCCAAGCAAATCCGAGTGACCAGTCAGTTCACTGGCTCCCAGTCCACTGAGTACCCAGTATGATGACAGTTTTCCAGCTGTGAGTCGCTGCTGCTTTTGGTGTTTCTGCATTTGAGGCCTTGGGGTACCTTACTACAGGGGTTCATCGCAGTCCCTTTGAGAATCTGATGACTGATAGTGTTTCTCCTGGAATACAGGTGTGAGCGAGCGTGTGCAGCTCAAGCGCAGACCAGGCACACCTGCCTGAGTTGTCCTTCATTGTCACTGCCGTTGGCAGGATGCATCCGGTCCACAGTGGGCGGGGCTCATTCTCAGCAGCGAGCAGTTCTAGGAACTTAGGAACGCTGGCCTCCTACTGTACAAACAGTTTCTCCGTATGGACTTATGAGTTCTTATTTCATTCAGCAGGTTGTATTACTATTACTCGTCTTGATGCTCAGATTATTCCAAAGCTGGTCATTGGGAGCCCCTTCAAGTGGCTCCTCTGACAAGGCCCTGTTGGAGCACGACCCTGTTTTCTGACACAAGTAGTGTTCAGGCTCTAGCTCTCCCGGCCCCAGCCCTGGAACCAGCCGTTTGCCCATGAAGAAGCCCCGCTTCCTTTTGATGGAGAATGGCATTTGGAGACCAAGAGCTGGGTGCGCTGACCACTTTTTCCCAGTATGCCACTGTCTTCGGACGCTCTGAGCTTAGGACAGGTCCGTGACCTCCCTGACCTGTAGGAGGAAGAGGGAGGTGGGGCCCACACGGCCCAGCTCCCCCAGCAGAGCCCCAACACCGCTCTTACTGGTGCGGGCCCTCAGACTGACCTCCCCGTTAGAGCGAGCAGACACAAAAGCTGATGAGGGCAGACATCTCAGGACAGTTTGGTACTTGTGTGTTTTGGGGAAAATAACTTATTTGGAAATTGCATTTCATGATTTGCTTATGGATTTTTTTCAAGGACCAAGCAGAAAAGTGAACATTTATTGGTGACTGACTCGACACCTGGGGCAGGCCTCCTTGGCTAAAGCATGGTTTTTTGGACTCCTCACCGGTCCCTTTCAGGTGCGGTGACGCTGTTCGGTGGGCTGGCAGCAGAGGTGCTGAGATCCTCTGGGCACTTTTCACCCGTCTGTGTCAGTATCTGCAGAGATGAAGTGGAAACAACGCACTCAGGAAGGACATTGCTCTCATGTTTATTCTACAATAATTACCTTTCCTCCTCTGTTGGCCATTCCATCTTTTTTCTTTTTGAGAGTGTTTTTAGCCCGCGCGAAGCTGCAGAAGTGTGCTGGGATCATGTGACTCTCAGCCCTGACCTTGCATAGCGTTCTGAATGAGAACGTGAATTGAGACAGAAAATATAGCTTCTTTCCCCGCTTTCAAATGTAGACTGGACGGTTCCGGGATGCTGTGTCCTGGGCCCCACACAAGTGTCAGTGAGCGGCGGGGCACACATCTGAGTCTGGTGGCATCACAAACTGTCACGGCTGGCGCTTGGGCAGCGCCATCTGTGTGCCTGTGCATCCCAGTCCAGCTCTGGGCCCCGGGCCCCTCCCGCCGTCCTCTCCGAGCTGCTGAAGCTCGGTGGGCTGCGGGGCGTGCAGACCATGGCAGGCATGGCTGGGCTGCATCATGCAGCGACTTCCTTGTCTGTAGCCAACCGCTGTCCACCACGCATCTGTGAGCAGCAGGACTCCGCCCCCTTAGAGTAGAGGTGGTGTTGTGTTTAATCACCTTCTCTGGAGACTTAGCCTGACAGCTGTGGCGTCAGCGTGCTGTGTTGATTTGTTGCTGAAGCAGCAGGTTTCTAAGTGCGAGGTCACTTGGGCCACCTTGCTAGGCTGCAGCATGTTGTGATGCCTGACTTGGGGACTCTGCATTTCACCTGGCGTCTGACAACTTACACCCACCTCCCCCCACCCCACCCCGAGCCCCTGCGCTGAGGTCTGGGCTTTCAGAACCCAGCCCCAGTCCCGGGCAGGCGCAGTGCAGACCGACTGAGTGTGGGTGTTGAAGGCAGGGCCTGTCATCCTAGCTTGTGTCCTGTGCTGAGCCCACCAGCACATTAGGTGACATAGGACAGGACTGCTGGGCTGAATTCAGGTTGGAGACCTCAAGCTTAAATTTAGTAAATACAAAAATGTTTCATTTGATTGTGAATACGGAGTTTTGAATTCCTGACACATGGGTGGACAGGAGGTAGCACGTCAAGGAGAGTGACTGTGGAGTGTTTAAAGCTGAGGCCCTTTGTGGGGGTTGGGTGAATCGAAGACTTCTGTGTCATGTGCTCCGTGGGCATTTCGCTTCCGATGACTGCACACATGTCGCGTCCCCACGGAGTGGGGCCAGGGGCCTGCCCGGCACTCCTGTCTGTGTGATGCTCAGTGTTGGGCACTGACTGCGCTCTCCAGGTCTTTCCAGGTGATTTGAGCTGTCTCCCCATCCTTCATGAACAGGGGCCGTGGGTGTTTCCCGCTGTCACTGACGCTGTCCTCTTGGGGATGGGTGCCTCTAGGACGTCGAGGACAGCAGGCTGCTGATGTATGTAGCTCTGGCTAGTCCCCCAGGAAAGGCTTCTACACCGACACCCCATCTGTGGCTGTGGGGCGTCCTGACCAGTCGGGTGCTTTGCAGCACCCCCACCCTCTAAATGCCAGGAGCCTGCTCCTGAGTTATGCAACCAGGGATGCGTCCAGATGCCCAGCGTCCCCTTGGGACCTGATCCACCCTACAGGATAAGACAGGCAACACCTTTTGACCCCAGCAGAGAAAGCTACACGACTTTTAACGTAGTCCGTCTGAGGAAGACTTTCCAGGCAGGTGCGTGTCCGGGCCATGCTGCCCAGAGTATACGGAGTGGTTAGGCAGCGTGCGTGCCCTTGCCCCTGGGTGCCTGCCGGCTGCCCAGGCTATGCCCAGGACTTAGAAACAAGGCAGGGCACCCCTTGGATCACCCAGGGTGGTGGGAGCTGAGAGGCCGTGGGGAGGAGGTGCAGCCCTGGGTGTGGGAGATCCTCAGGGGCTGTTCAGATGAAGGGGAAAGGCAGGGTGGTTCAGGCAGAGGGGCACCCTGTGCCAAGGGCACCTCCAGCAGTGCTTGGGGTCCCGTCATTGGGTCACCGTGGCCGTGGAGTGGTACAATGGTACATCCTAGGGGTCTGCAGGGTGACAAGAAGGAGGCCATCGTGTGTGCACATGTGTGGGCTTCCCTTGGCCACGGAGACAGGTTCCAAGTCGCCGGGGGGGTGTGGGGGGGATCTGTGGAGCGGAATTGTGTTGGGGAAGACAAGAGGGGACCTGGGGGGCTGTGGGCACACGTCCCCTGGGAGCGCCCAGGCCCACCTCCCTGTCCTGTGGCCATGTTGTGTCGGAGGGCCTTTCTGAAAGGCCACCAACAGCTCACTGACCAGTCTGCTGGCCTCGGCCCCGTGTGTCTCCCCAGCCAGTACAGTACACACGTTAGGAGCAGTTTCACAAGTCTTGGCAAATGTTTGTTCCTTGGAAAGCACTGCCCTCAGTGGAAGTGTGCGCATCTCCTCTCTGGACACGCGTCTGCACCCTGTTGGGTCACATGTTCCCTCCTCATGTCTGTCCTGGGCCTGGCTCTGCAGCCTCTGAGCGCTGACTTTTTCTGACTCGACATTCTGTTCTCTGCCCGGCCTCCATCATTGGGGCTCCCCAGAGGCCCATCACTGTCTGTTTTCTAGGGGTGGTCACATCCTGGTCCTGCCACGTCCTGGGGTGCGTTCAGCTGTGCCCGCTGCTGCTGGCCCCTGTGCCTTCCTTGCCCCTGTTCCCAGGAGAGCTTGCCAGTCTTGTTTGCACCTCCTGTTACTTTCCTCCTCTCCCCCCGTGTCTAGTCGGTCGTCAGCCGACAGGGTTGTCCCCAGAATGCGTGGGAATGCCTGCGTGGCTTCCTGCTCTCTGGGCTTGGCTTCTCGGCAGCCCTGGGGGAGCCGCCAGGGCCCGCCGGCCACCCGCTTGCTCTTGGCGCCCCGCGCCTTCCTCGGACCGTCTGGGCTCAGAGCCGCCTCTCTGACTGTCCCCACTCCAGCCTCAGGAGTCTGAAGCCAGGGCACCCTGCCTGCTTCCTCATCGCCTGTCGAGACCTGGCCATCACCTCATCTGGGTCTTCCCTGGAAGCTTCCTCCCGCCCAGAGGAGCTGATCTTGTAGAGCCAGTCGCCCCGCTCGGGGTTTCCATCAGACATTAGTGACCCCAGCGGTAAGAGATTTCTCAGTAAGGACACAGAAAGTTGAAAAATTGGACTTAATTAAAATTAAGTACTTGGTCTTCAAAAACACTGTTAAGAAAACAAAAAGTCAGACTACAGACTACAAACACATAATGTATTTTGCCATGTAGAGTGTGCTCCCGTGCATAATACGCACCCACGTTTTTGGCCCCAACTTGCAGGGAAAAAATATTTTGTTCTAATGTTTTAATTCAGATTTTTATTTGTTTACATTTAGGTACTTGTTTTTTGTATCATAAAGGAATTTTAGCGTGTATTTTTTAACTTACTACGGTACAAGAAACTTTATGTACTGGTAAAAAATTTACGATATTTACGCATCATAGAAGCCAAGAGCTCTTCCTCGTTGCAAGCTCGTCCTGAGTTCAGCAAAACCATTTGTCGTATTCGGGGGTATTATTTTGCATACAAATATTGTTATTGATTTCTAGAGTTACATTTCTAACTCGTAAGCATAAATAAAAGAATTAAAAACATTTACATAGATACGGAATTAGTACTACCCATGTATCATACGCATCTTTAGTTTTCCCTCACAATTTTGGGCAAAAAAGTATGCATTATACACAGCAAAATATGGTACTTACAAAGCGTCTCGACCTGTTTATTGGTTGAACCAGACAACCCAAATGTTTCTTCAACTTAATGTTTTTTAGGGGTGCTCGATGAAATCCTTTTGGTACATTTTTGAGGATTCCTGAAAAAATATCCTCCAAGCCATAAGTTTTAGTTTAAAAATAAGCCAGCTGCATAAATGCCAATTTCTGTCAGTTTCACCTTGTCAGCTGCCCACAGCGGAGCAGCATCTGGAGGCCACGCCCCCAGGTCACAGCACGCCTGAGATCGGGCGCCTTTGTCACTGGTGCTGTGTGGCCTATGTGTTCTCGGCACTTGTAAACCTGGTAGGTTGGCGAACGAAACCGTTGATTGTTTCTCATAAAGCCTGCCACCAGCTTTCCAAGGGCAGACTGAGCAGACGTTTCCCAGGTCCCAGGGCCCCCACACATTCCCCTGACAGGCCCTTCAAAAGACCCATCAGCCAGTGGTCGAAATGCACCCATGGCTTTGGGAAGGGCCTCTGGTCCTTTTGCTGACAGCCCACGTATTCGCAATTTCTTTCGCCTTTGTGTGCAGGGGTGCCGATGGAGCCTGGGTGACAGTGTCTGCAAGGGGCTGTGGGAAGGTGCATGGGGCCCATGGGCAGCGAGCAGTGCACAGAGCTGCGGGGTGTCCGTGGGGGGGCCGACTGCAGGGGCTGGGACGTGGAGGGTGGCCTGGGGTTGGAGGAGCAGCTGCAGGCGCTCCTGCGGGGTTGGCGAGCCTGGATGACTGGGAGGACGGGGCTCTGTGGAGAGGCTCCAGGGCCCCGTGACTGCAGCACGGTGGAGAGGGCAGCTGGGTCAGGGTCCCAAGGCCGGACCCGAACGCCAGCCCTGGAAAGCAAAGGCACAGGGCTCGGCAGTGAGGAGCAGGAGCGATGCCAGGTGCCAGGGTGGGCAGCAGACCGGGGCAGGCAGGAGCCTGAGCCAGAAGGCGTCCTTGGCCAGGGCGCTGCCAGCAGCCGTGCGGGGTCCAGCGCAAGGGTGGGGCGTTCCTCTTGTTTGTTTAAGACAGGAAATTGGGGCAGACTTCTGGGTGGAGGTTTGGGGCTGCAGACACGGTAGGTAGTAAGGTTCTAGGCCTGGGCCCTGTCAGGCGCCCCGAGTGACCGGCAGTGAGCAATAGGGACAGATGGGAGGGGAGAGAGGCCCCTGTGAGAAGGGGGCTGTTGCCCCTGCCCTGTTTGGGGTACGCAGTTGGTAGCTCTGTCCGCCTTGAAAAGCAGTTGCTGTCCAGAAGCCTCTAGGATAGAAATGGATAAGGAAGGGGGTGCGAGATACCCCCGTGTATGGGGCGCCGACTGGTAGGCAGGCTCTTTGACCTCAGGGAGGGTCCCCGTGTTTTGAGCTTTACGTTGTGAGGAGAGGCCCTGCCTCGCAGACACTGGGGGCGCCTGCTCACAGGGCTGTGATCCCCCAGCTGGCAGGTTCACGCGCTGATCGGCCACTTTCCTGGGCTGCTGCCAGGCAACCAAGCTTTGATGCAAACTCACAAAAAAAGCAGTAATTTCATTGTTTATAAAACTGGAACTTTCACAATATTCTGTCAGGAAAATTTAGGTGAATCATAGCATCTCCCTGGACGGGGACTGTCTGGGAAATACTCATTTGTTACCTGTTGGTGTTATGTAATTCCTTAGCGTATGAACCAAGTTCCTGTTTTTGTATACACATTGCTTATCTGAACTTTGAGACAGTTTTCAGTTACCCCAAAGTCTCCTCTCCTGACAGGACATCCTTGGTCCCCTCAGCTGCCCCGTGCGTAGTTGTTGTGTTTTGCTTGAGGGGCCGTAGGCGAGGCAGCCCTTCCTTCACTTTGCAGGCCCAGAAATGGAGCCCTGCAGGGGTGCTGTGACCCGCCTGACGTCAGCAAGCATCCCTGGCGGGTGGTATAGAAGTTGGGGGTCTTCACTCCCACTCACGGGCTTTTCCCAGGGTGCTGAGACCAGCCCAGAGGTTTCATGCTCCTAATTTGTGACTGTTTGATCCCATTTCTAGAGCGGTCCTGGTGCGGCTGGAAGGATGCAGCCACCCCGTTGTCATGAAAGGTTTGTGCGCTGAGTGTGGCCAAGACCTAACCCAGTAAGTACCAGAGCTCGGGAGTGAAACGGTGCCTCTAGGTTTGAGAGGTGACCAGTGGGGACAGAGACATGCGATGTGGAGGGGCGGAGGTTGGCCTGACTGCGACTGCAGGTAGCAGATACCCTTCCCCGGACCTGGCCATACTCGGGTCAGCCCGCCTCCCTGGGAGGCCGCCCGTCGGGCTTTATTGCTGTAAGTCTGAAAGCACTGACTTCTGCCGCACGCTGCCTCCGGCTGTGAGAGAAAAGCGCTGGCAGGTTGAGATTGATTTCTCGCCCAGCCCAGTGGACTGCGCGTCCCTAATGTCTGGAGTGGTCACCATGAAGGCCTCCTGGACATAACGCCTCACCCTGGGCCAGCGTCCCACCCACAGCACGTGGCCACCTCACAGGATACGTGTGGAGCCGTGTGCACTGTTCTGTACTGTCACATTCCAGGGTCTGTTTTTGTGTGACCATCAGTGCTGTCAACGAGAGCTTTGTCAGTGTGACAGTACTTGATTTTTTCGCCAGCTTTCCTGTCTGTTTTCAGCAGTTGCTCACAGAATGAGATTCTGCGCTGACAGCAGCACACGTTGACGCAGATACCTTTGACGAGCTTTCTGTGTGCGGCGAGCTCAGCAGCCCTTTCACCTCCGCAGGTTGCAGAGCAAGAATGGGAAGCAGCAGGTGCCACTGTCCACGGCCACCGTGTCCATGGTGCACAGCGTCCCGGAGCTGATGGTGAGCTCCGAGGTGAGTTGCCGTGGGGCCGAGTGCATGGGAAACGACCTGAGGGCAGTACGGAGGGTGCGGGTGACCCGCCAGCTCTGTGGGCGCCTTCGCTTCTGAAGTAACTGCTGGTGTGCCCGCCCTGGACCCTGGAGCCAGGTTCTAGCCAGGAAGGGTGACACAGAGGTGGGCCTGGGACTCGACAAGCAGTGGTCTGTGAAGAGCGGATCTGGTCCAGGGGCGGGGGCGGGCGGGCTGCGAGAGGCCCGGTGCCGTGCGGCTGTGGGGATGCGCGCACGCTGCCGCTGGCACGCTGGCGGAGTGGACGTGGGCTCAGAGGGCTGTCGCTGTGCGGGGACGTGGGCCTTGGACGGTGGCTGAGTGGAGGACAGGCTTGGCCTTTCACCCTCGCGTGCCTGTTTCCTCTGTGCGCCAGGAGTCCCAGGGGCAGTGCCGGTCAGAGACACCCAGACCTCGCCAGCTTGCACAGGTCAGGGCCCAGATGGTGAGGAGAGCGAGGCCACCAGGCTAGAGCCGGGGCGCAGAAGCTGTGCCAGCTGAGCGCTGTAAGGAGGTGATACGTCTGCGGCGTTACCATTTTATCAGATGAGTTGTGCCTTTAAGTGATATATGTCTACTTCACGTTTTTTTGTGAGAAAGACAAAGTATCAAATACGTGATTCTGATTTTTCTGCATTATTGGACTTGAAACAAATGTAAAGATGTGTGAGAGAGAGAGACACACAGAGAGAGAGAAACAAAACTAGAAATTTGGAGCATAAAAAGAGAAGTCAGTGTTCCCTCCCCACTGTCCCTGTCCCTGCCATACCAGAATAACTGTTGGCCTTGGTCCCTTTCAGGAACGGCCGACTTCTTCCTTCCAACCTGATCAGGCCAGGAGTTTGTTCACAGTAGTGAGGGATGTCAGTTCAGTGGGAGATGCAGGCCCTGGAGCCTTGGTACCAGCTGAGACGGGGAGGGCCAGGCGCTCCCCAAAGGGGTGTCCCTACTGCCCACCTGCACCAGCCTGATCACTCCCAGGTGCAGCGCTGCTCCTGCCTGCCCACCAGCGTCTGCCAGCTGTCCCCCTGCCAGCCCCCTCCCAGCTCCCCAGGAACCCTGCAGCTCACTGGTGTGGAGTTGCTCCTCACAGTCGGCTGACTCTTAACCCCCTTTTTCGCTGCTTTACGTACTTGATAACCCTGCGGGGTTAGCATCACAAGGCAGCATGTCCTGAAGTGGCTGGCCTGGGCGGTTGGCTCAGGCACGGTGGCACTGCGGCCCGAGTGCACAGCACGGCGGGGGGGGTGGATAATATTACTCAGCTTCCTCCGTGTTTGTTTCTCAATAAAACAGATCTGGATTGTTCTGGATGCAGACGCACGTGTGTTGTTGCCTTTCTTTTGTCTTTTCGACCTTAGCAAGCTGAGCTACTCGGACGGGAAGACCAGCACCGGCTGCATCGGAACAGAAAGCTGGTCCTCATGGTGGACTTGGACCAGACCCTGATCCACACCACAGAGCAGCACTGCCCGCAGATGTCCAATAAAGTGAGTGCATCCGCCCCGGGCGCCCGCCCCGATGCTGCCCCCAGTGGAGGCCACAGCACACGCCTCGCCCCCCGAGCCCGCCGGGTGGCCGTGCTTGTTAGTTCCCAGGGCCTAGGGTTCCGAGATTGGGAAGGCCCAGGGGCCGGCAGTGGACCGCAAAGCAGTGTGGTCTGGGGGAGATGAGCTGGTTGGTGTGCCCTCAGGAGTGTCTGGAATCCTGTGGGGCAATGCAGGCAGATGGGGACCCGGGCTGGAGAGAAAGGCTGGGCACCCCCCATGGAAATTCTCCAGGAAATACAGAGGACGGAACTCTACTTTAACTTGGTCCGCAGTGTGAAAGTTGAATTTCTGGCCCTTGCAGAGGCTTTTTATGCCTGCTCTTGGAGGCTGCGCCATCCCGCGCTCTCATTGCCTGCAGAGACTCCGGCAACACAGGCCATCGCCTCTGAACTTCCTTGCTGTTGGACAGTTGAGGTGTGGGCTCCTATGGGAACCCAGGTTCTCGGCGCCTGCAGACCCCTCACCCCTGGCTGGGGGGCAGGGGTGTCAGGGTGCCTGCAGGGTGGGCATTGTTAGTTGGTTTACAGGGCAGTTTGGCTGGGTACAGCGTGCCCGTCTGAGCCCGTGTGGTCTAGAAGACCATGGCGTCCTCATGTCTACATGGCCAGTCCTCAGCTCCTGCTGGTGGCGTCAGTGTGCCTCCACCCCCTGGCCCCCTTCCTGGGCTGGGCTCAGGGACAGCGTGACAAGCCGGTTCCATGCAGTGCTCAACGAGTGACGCCCACAGCTGAACCTGGACACTGCTGGCAACTTCAGGAACACGCACCTAATTCTTAACTGCAGATCCAGGCTGGTGTTTTTAAGGGTGTTTGTATCACAGTTCACGGGCTATGTAACTGCTGAGTGGGATGAAAGTTATTTGTACAACTTAACACTCCTAAGTCTTTCACCACAACAGCCTCACCATAAGGGTTTTGACTAATACAGAGCAAGTAAAAAATTAACTACACCTCGGTCATTTGCCCTTCTTTTTTGGTGGTCGATTAGAGTATTGGTACTGAGAAAATTAATAATAAACAGGATTAACAGCTGCTCAAAGCATTTGTGCTGAGTAGGGCAGCCCGCCGCAGGGCCCCTGTCCTGACGGCAGAGCGTGCGTGCCGTCTGGCCCTCCCCTGATGGGCGCCCGTTCTGTGCAGGGCGTCCTCCACTTCCAGCTGGGCCGGGGCGAGCCGATGCTGCACACGCGCCTGCGTCCGCACTGCAGGGACTTCCTGGAGAAGGTCTCCAGGCTGTACGAGCTGCACGTCTTCACCTTCGGGAGCCGGCTCTATGCGCACACGATTGCAGGTGAGCGGGTAGCGCCGATCGGGCCCAGCGTGCTGTGGGCCGGAAACACTCACACTGTGTGGTTCTCAGTTCCTGGCGTTTTCTCGAAGATGAAGAAAGCTCAGTCTCAGCCCTACTTAGAGCCGGGCCCCTGGGACGGCCAGGCAGCAGTGCTAAGGAAGTCTGCAGGTTCAGCCCCTCGTCTCCTGGGGGGCAGGGGGCTCCCTGGTCTGCTGGGACCCCATGGGCCAGTCCAAGTGGGCCTGCCACACACCGCGGGCCAGTTTGGAAGTCAGTCAGAAGCTCAGACACGTGGGAAGGAAACTGAACACTTTCTGAAGACACTGTGTGTGGGTTGTCTGGAAACAGCCCTGGAGCCACGCTGCTTATGTTGGTCGCACTCACGCTGCAGGTGCAGACGCAGAACAGTCTCTGTCTCCCTTGGAAGCGAGCACCGTGACAGCCGTCCTGGCGCAGACACTGTGCCGGTCGGGCTCATGCAGCGTGTGTGGGCAGCAGCCCATGGTGGCAGCCCCGCTGGGGACAGAGTGTAGGACGGGTCACCAGCTAGGACAGCTGGGCTCTGGCCCCTCTGACCTGTCGGTGAACGCTGGTACCTGCAGTGTAACGTGGCCACAGCGCCTTGGTGTTAGACATTGGCGGTTAAACTCAGCTTGGTCCTGGTCTTTGCTTGTTGATGGAGACGTGATTTCATGGGCCCCATTGACACATACTGGACACAGGTGGGAAGTTGAAGCCACGACCACGGAAGTGACATACTCAGGTTAATTCATCTTGTAACTAAACCTCAGCATATTTGCTTTTAGCGTGTGGCTGCCTGGGAGACAGGATTACACTAGACTAATGTGGCTGCTCTTGGACTCTCACAGCCCCTGTGAAAACAGTGTGTCCAGTCCTCCAGGCGCAGACTCGGGGACTTGCGGCGCCCCTCTGATCCCTGGCATCTCTAGGTGGCGATGAGTAGGGCCCACAGAGGACCAGAATACCAGCTCCGGTAAAAGTGCCTGCAGGCATCCCCGGAGGGTTAGGAAGCCGTGCCCCAGTCACAGCATCTGCAGGATTGTCTCCTGGTCCTGAGGTCCTCAAGAGCGAGACCCCTGCAGGCAGCCTGAGCTATCTCTGTTCCAGGCTCTGCTTTGTACCTTAGAATTCCGACACATGCAGACAAACGCCACAAGGGGGCCAGTGTCCCAGTGAAGGTGGGTGCAGAGGCCCTCAGCTCAGCAGAGCGGCACCGAACCCAAGGGACCCGCGGCTGCTGTGTGGCTGGGGTGGCGAGGCCGGTGACGGTTCACGCACCGAGAGGACATGGGAGGAAGCCCGTCACCACAGACACCCTCGTGGCTTTGAGTGGATGGGCCCTTGGAGGGCTGGGGCTGGGCCCGGAGGGTCCCGCAGGCTGGGCTTCAAGGAGGTGGAGCTTGGCAGCCACCCAGGACCCAATGTAGTAGCTGGCAGGAGTCAGCAGGCTATCCAGGCAATTTAAGTCACAGACAACCAGAGGCCGGCTTTCAATCTGATAACTGATCATGCTTTTTAACAGTGACGGCTTCTGTAGCTTCCTCTTTTACCAACTTGTAGTTTTAAGTTACCGTTTTCACAGAATGTGCATTTTTAGTGCAGTTAGGGTAAAAATATTTTTGTTTGGACTTTTCCTTTTATTGTAGAGACGCTGTTCATCTATTGATGAGCTTTAGGTTTAGACACTGAGTGGCTTCAGTTCACACGGAATTTACGTGTTCTTTGTATAGTAAAAAACTCTACAACAGTTCTTTACGAGAGCAAGTATTTTCTGTTAATGAGATGCTCGTGACTCTGGGCCAAAGGATCTAAGCTCTGGAGGTGGCAGGGCCTCCCTCGGCAGACAGCGTGGCCTCAGGAGGACCGTGTGCAGCCCAGGTGTGGCACATGTGGGAGCTTGCGGGAGCTGAGGTGCACAGAGTGCTTGTGTGACTGACAGTGGAGAACAGCGAGCCACGTGTCGAGTTTGTGACTTCAGAGGGTCTGGCAGGGAATGGATGGGCTTAGGATGAACCAGTCAGAAACGGTGACCAGTCACGACAGCGTGGCAGCGCTGCTTGGGCTGGACCTAAAAAGGCCTTCGGAACACACGGGCTGTGTTGGCAGAGGGGTTTCAAGGTGCTTCTGAGGTGTCAGCTTGCCCCGTTGCTGAAGAAGTAACGGGTGCAGGAGACAACACGCAGTGGCAGATAAGCATCCCGGCTCCGTCTTGGGACTGCCGCTTATCCGGTGTCCACGCCCCCTTGTCCGTAGCGTGCAGGTAGAAATGTGGTCACGTGTTTATGCTTCCTGGGGGGCTGACTGAGCTTTGTTCATCCCGCGTCATCTGTCCCTCGCAAAATCCCAGGTCACGTTCAGTCCAGTGAATGTGTCTGAACAGATGCCCTTGAACACATTGAAATAAGAGGAAAGGAACTAAAAGCGATGGCAGCCTTGACTGAGGCAAGTGTGCAATGCCGCCTGGACGCCGTACATCTGACGCTCCGAGGAGACAGGCTTCGCCGTGCGCACAGTGGAGCCTCGGCGGGGCGTGCACGCGTGACCTTTGCCCTGTTTTCTTTTCAAAGGCTTTTTAGACCCTGAGAAGAAGCTTTTTTCTCATCGAATATTATCGAGGGACGAATGTATCGACCCGTTTTCCAAAACTGGGAACCTTAGGTACGTACCCGGCCATGTTCATCACTGGCACCTGCTGTTCAGTTCTCAGTGGAAAGGCTGTGTTCTGAGCATCAGAGCAGTGAATCTGTATTTATTCTCCCCATTTCAGCCACTGTTCTCACAGTGTCTTCTAACCAGACCCCTTCCTCCTGCCTCTCCCTGGGTTGTCCAGACAGTCGGGGGACTCGGGGATGGAACCCAGGAGGAGAAGGGCTTGGGGGCGGGAGCTGAGCGCAGGGCTTGGAGGACATGGGAATGAAGGTGACAGGTGGCGGAAGTGCCCAGAGCTTCCCAAGAGCAAGGCGGCTGTTCGTCGAGTCACATGTTTAAAGAGGTGCTTTGGCGTTAGTGTTGGCATCCAGGTTTGTATTCCCTCAGGAGCTTGCTTGCTGTTGATCCCACGGGTGTCAGGAGATGCTAGGTCATGTCCCCATCTGCCTGCTCTGCCGTCCCAGTCCTCCCATCACCGCGCACCCTCCCTGTCTGTGCTTCTGCAACAGGGCTGTCCCACCCTAGTGACAGCCTTTTTATATTCTCGGAAATGTTTTGCTCCCTCCGAATAAGGAATTCCCCCATTTCTACCCAGAAAGCCAGGGCCCTAGTATGATCCTGGGTCCGATAGAACTTGTTTTCACAGATTGTGACTCCCAACCAACCTGGCCAGTAACCGCTGTTGCCCCCCGGCTGGTGTCAGCCACCCTCATCTAACAGTCCGTGTTGAGATCTGGGTGCCCTCACAGACTGAGACCTAATCTGGTGACTGTGAACTAAAAGGAGAGTCTGAAAGTACTTGTTTCAGAAACAGACCTCGTGTGTGCTCGTTAGTGTCAGAGTGAGCAGAGTGACGAGGACAGAGGAACAGAGAGCGTGTCAGCGACTTCCCAGGGGGCAGAGCCACCCCAAAGGAGCATGTTGTAGAAGCCCATGCACTGGCAGCGGGCACAGGCAGCACCCCCTGGAGTGAGACGGGCCGCAAAGCAGCAGCCTCGGGCGCTGTCAGCTCCCTTACGTCTTCTCTCTGGAAAACAGGCTCGGGAGCCAGTGTTAGTCGTGCACATGGGAACACTTCCTTCTGGGTGGCTGTAGCCTCTGACTTAGTAGCAGCTCGAGAACCTGAGCAATGGCAAGCATTTGTCCTGGGTTTATGTCCCGGTCCTGGAAGACAGGCGAGAAGCAGTCGTCATTCTGAATTTTGGATGCTGCGAGCCTACCTGTGTGAATCTCAGAGGTGTGGACAGGACCATGTGAGGGCAGCAGCGTGCCCACAGCCAGCAGTCGCTTTGTGGACTCTTGTTAACCCTTGTTAACATCTCCACTTGCCCTACATCCTACTAGCTTCGAGGATACTGCAGTCACCTCTTTAGGTTTGAAAGTCGACCTCATGTAGGTACATTGCACAAAACTGTTGTATATTTCAAATAGCTGAGGTTTGAGTAAGGCTGTGCCCCCCTGCCTATCACTGGGAGCCCTCACTTGTGGGAGCAGGTGTCAGCAGACTCTGGCCTGCAGGTTCATAACCTGTGTTTGTAAATACCATTGTACCGGAACATGGCCATGCCCCTTCATTTAGCATTGTCTGTGCTGCTTTGGGACCAGGGTGTGGCCCCCACATGCCATTCTTTACTTTCTGTCCCTTTAAGGAAAGCGTGCTGACGCCTGCTTTAAGAAGTATTAGTGGAGGGCCGGCCGAGTGGCGCGTTGGTTAAGAGCTGGCTTGGGACGCCAGCTCTGAGCAGCAGGGCCCCGGTTCGGATCCCACATGGGCCAGTGACGCTGCGCCCTCTACAGCTAAGATGGTGAACAACAGCTCCACCTGGAGCTGGGCTGCCATGAGTCGCCGGTGACGGCGTAGGCTGCAGTGGGTTGCCACGAGCTACCATGTGTGGCTGGCAGCCGGCATGAGCTGCTGTGAGCAGCCGTCCAGAGGCCGGCGACCCATCTGCCTCACCCGGGAGGAGCGCAATAATAATACCAACATGGGCCAGTGAAGCGACGTCCTCCACAACTAGACTGAAGAACAAAAGGACAGCAACTTGTCTGTTCCCCTTCCCTGATTCCCCA